TTTACCGTTTAATGTAATAGTTATAGGATAGATACGATCACGTCTTTGTCTTATAACTCAAAAACATTCACTGTTATTTTTATTTTATTATTGAAATTGTGTTTCTTTATATACGATTAACAATTTTACATTTTCCGTTATGCTATTATTAACTAATAACACAAAAATTTGTTTAAAACACTAAATCTATGTCGAACAAATTCCTATAAGTTAATAATACTAGAAAAGCAGTCTAGCGTCACAAATGATGAGTTTGATGTTAAATTAAAGGTATTTAAAACTTGTAATTTTCACCCGACAGACACTCAGGCAGTTCTTACCCCGAATGATAGAACTAGGACGAGGTCACGTGGTAGCAATGAGTTCTGTATGTGGTATTCTTGGTGGACCCTATACGACAGATTACAGGTATTTAACAGTTCTTACCCCGAATGATAGAACTAGGACGAGGTCACGTGGTAGCAATGAGTTCTGTATGTGGTATCCTTGGTGGACCCTATACGACAGATTACAGGTATTTAACAGTTCTTACCCCGAATGATAGAACTAGGACGAGGTCACGTGGTAGCAATGAGTTCTGTGTGTGGTATCCTTGGTGGACCCTATACGACAGATTACAGGTATTTAATGAGAAGGGATATTTTCAGAAACTCATTAACAAAGAACAACAATAGATGAGACTAAAAGGGAGATTAAAATAAACACGTTTTAAGTATTTACTGGTGAGTAGTTTTAGTGTCCTCTCCCACAGTGTATGTGAAAATGGGAGCTTTTTTGTGTATTGGATCGTTTTAAAAGGTTATTCTCGCTGTCTTGATTTTCCATACCACAGCGCAGTTACTTTTTCATATAAATTAAATACGTAATTCAACAGAGATTAGAAAACGTATTAAAACCATAGATAATGTAAACTTAATGTAATATTTGATAACGATTTGGATTTTATTCGACCTTTTAAAAAGAAATAGTGCATAATTACAATGTTACTATGGTTATCTTCTGATCAAAGTAAGCTACCTATATAAATCACAATGTAGAAGAAAAAAAAGGTTTAAAGAACGACAAGTTTAAGACTTTGATTGGTATTTCTAAGGAATACTAGAAATATCATTTTAATACTGTAAAGAATTTTGAAACATACTCCAAACGTCGTTCAACCAAGTGAGACTTTGATACTTAAGTTATAATTCCCAGAAAAAAATAGAAAAAACTCCAGTAGGAATGGAATTAAGATAATACTTAATAACTTATTATTTATTTGTTTTCTGTTAATGTTAAATGAGATATATAATGTTTTATTTTAGTTTCAATGTTATTAATTTATCCCTTGTAGTGCCTCTAAGCATGCTGTGATTGGACTGATGAAAGCGCTCGAAGAAGAACTCCATTTTATCGGGAAAGGTGACATTATACACTTCACAGCGATCTGTCCCACCATCGTCGACACAGGCTTTGTACACCATCCTCATACTAGGTGTCGCTCTGGTTTCACTTACACCCTTTTGTATCATGCAAAGTACTTGTGTTGTTCTGAAGGAAATGAGTATTTGATCTTTGAAATTTTAATCCACGCTGTGGACTTTTATGATGCATTGCAAGGACTAACGATAGTTATGACAGAGAGAAATTACAATATTTTAAAAATATCTTTAAACGATGAATCTCTTATATTTCTAACATGCATACTCAGTTACGTAATGATTTAACTACTGAACTAGTTTCACCTTTATTAGGGCTGTCGCTAGCGGGGCGGGTGGGTGAATGTGTACAGGGTGGCCAGACCCACTGAAATGCCGTTGGCTCTTCCATGCTTATACCATACATTAATATAATTCCAGATTTATTTTAGATTTGGTACATTATATGTCTCATGCTCCATTTCTCACTTAAGAAAAGCTGGAGCCGGTCCTTCATACAACGAATTTATAAGTCATAAATGAGTTTTATATGATTCATTAATAGTATGGTCATTATCTATAATACTTAGAAATAGCTCCATTTTTGGATATTTGCTTTCCTAAAAAGTGCTTAAAAGAAAAACAATGTCATATCTGTGCTGCATTAAATGGCAACATTTTGTTTAATTAATAATTATATTCCAATTTAATAGAATAAAAAATAATTAAGTATTTTTTTATTCGGATCATTGCTATAAAGTAAAGCTCATATTCGAAGACCCACGAATAATAGAAAATAGAGGAACAAACTCCATATTATCAAGCGTTGAAGAAAATAACTTTAAACTTATGTAGAAGATGCCAGAAGCAAATATACCCATTAATTGAATTAAGTTTCGTATGCATATCGAAACATGTATATGATTACTTAAAGATCAAGTAGTCTCTGTTCTTCAAGGAACATTAATAACATCGGTTCACAAAACCTAGTTCAAAGGTACTCCAGATTGTCTAGTGACTCTAATACTGCTTTTATCAAAGATCATACGCAATAAAGACAACATTATTTCCTTGGAAACTCTCCTTCTACTCAAACTATCGATAGATCAAGATTCAAATATGGAATTGACTAGTCTTGGGTAATTCAAAAAGAAAAGAAAATACTCAAAGTAAAAGGAATACTTTTAATAAGTCTGGAAATCACAAGTTTTGGATAACAAAAAAATGAAAAAATAATTTCTGAAACAAAACAAGAACAGATTACCAAAAAGTAAAAAAAATTAAACAAATTTTGACTAAATGCTCCTCATTTCTATGAAAAGATAAACAGTTTATGTGGAAAATTCCTCAATGGGTTAATTGTTTATAATGGTCACTTCACTTCAATTAGGCATTAAGTTTCTTAAACACAAACGTAAAAATATTAAATACACAGTCATTACATGTTTATTTATCCACCAATTACTACTGTAGTCGCCACTTTGTTAGCAGATGTAAGATGCTTAGATTGCATGTCACAGTGTAGTCGTCACTTTGTTAGCAGATGTAAGGTGCTTAGATTGCATGTCACAGTGTAGTCGTCACTTTGTTAGCAGATGTAAGATGCTTAGATTGCATGTCACAGTGTAGTCGTCACTTTGTTAGCAGATGTAAGATGCTTAGATTGCATGTCACAGTGTAGTCGTCACTTTCTTAGCAGATGTAAGATGCTTAGATTGCATGTCACAGTGTAGTCGTCACTTTGTTAGCAGATGTTAGGTGCTTAGATTGCATGTCACTAAAGTTCATAAAAAAGAATCCAGCAAAGGTCCAAGATAGATTCCTACAATCATAGCTCTTTATAATATAGCCCCCATGCTTTATAGTAACACTGTAATAACGTTAGAATTAGGTATTCTATCCTCGCGATGGTCCCATCGCAGATAGCTCATCTTGAAACTTTGCGCTAAAACAAACTTTAAGCACTTAATATGTTTTATGTTTCCATGCTCTTTTCTAGTATACAAAAATTGGGCCAAACATTTCTTGATATATTAACCATGTTTTAGTATTTATATGTATATGTGTTAACTTTTTCTAAGTATGATATTTCTTATGTTAATGTCAGCAAACGTTCTTCAAACTAACCGAGGGCTATCTGCGCTAGCCGTCCCTAATCTAGCAGTGTAAGACTAGAGGGAAGGCAGCTAGTCATCACCACCTACCACCGACTCTTGGGCTACTCTTTTACCAACGAATAGTGGGATTGACCGTTACATTATAACGGGCTAGCTCATAGAGAACTGTATCTTTGTTTAAATACTTTTATTCAGTTAATTTCCTGTAGTTATGTTTTGTTTGTTTTTTTGTCTTTTTCTTAGGTATCTATTACAAAGTAATAAACATTGAAATGTCATTCATGTTACTTTAAAAAAATATTGGCCCGGCATGGCCAGGTGGTTAAGGAGCTCGACTTGCAACCTGCGGGTCGCGGATTCGAATCCCCGTCCCACCAAACATGCTCGCCCTTTCAGCCGTGGGAGCGTTATAGTGTGACGGTCAATCCCACTATTCGTTGGTAAAAGAGTAGCCCAAGACTTGGCGGTGGGTGGTGCTGACTAGCTGCCTTCACTCTAGTCTTACACTGCTAAATTAGGGACGGCGAGAGCGTGTAGCTTTGCGCGAAATTCAAAAACAAACAAAAATATTTTTAATCATAAGCAAAGTATACTGATTATCTCTCATCAGATAATTTAAACACTTTTTTGGTTAACTTTTTCGACGAATTTCATATTTTTTGAAAACCAGCATCAGTAAGTATGTTTCTCCTGAAGAACACACACACACATATATATATTATTTAAAATCACAATGATCCCTTTCCCAGAAATTTAAGCATTCGTAAAACAATCTTGATTCGAAACAGAACGTTTTATCAAGCTAATTACTTTGAGGAATCCTGCATAGTAGCACGTTACCTAGATGTACAAGCACAAAAAGCCCTTCTTGGTCAAATTTATCCATGAAACATTATGTTTAAATAGTAAGCCAGTCTTTTCATTCTACTGGTCACCTGGTAACGAAACTTAAAATTCTGTAACAGGTTTCCCGAGATTTTGCCAATCCTACACCCGAAGAAAGTGGCTAGAGAAGCGGTAAATGCTGTACTAACCAATAAACGAATCGCTGTTGTACCTTCATGGCTTGGCTATTTAATTCCTATTTTCAGGTGAGATATTTTGATTTCTAAATAAGATTTTGATTTCTCGAACAAGAATTATTGGATTTGTTTGTTTGTTTGTAGTTGAACCACAAAGCTACATGATGGGCTATTTGTGCTGTCTTAACCACGGGTATAGAAACTCGGTTTATAACGTTATAAGCCTTCAGACTTAAAGAACTATTGGGAAAGTTTTGGCAGAAGCAAATAGCCCTATAACAGCGATTTAATGGAATCTATATGATAATTACTTCATGATGTACAGCAATGTATCACTTTGCACGAATTGCTATCAGCAACAAGTAACACGATGAAAGAACTGCCACTCACTAAGAGGAAAATGAGAAAATGTTCACTTGTTGTGGCAGGTAACCTGTTATAGAACAGCTGTTTTCTAATTTCATTCTGCTTCCTGCCAAAGACTAGTTTTTCTATAATGATAAATCTTATTTTATGAGTAATTATACTGCCTGTTATAACATGTAATTTTGACCACCAAGGACTTCATTTCTACTGACGTAATCTTTTACTATGTTAAGGTTTGTTTTTTTTATTCTCCTCAAAGACCTTGTATAGGCGGGATTCATTTTAATGTTATAATTATCCTACAGGGCACAGCAACAAAGGCACGATGAAAAATGACTGGCTGCAACGCGATAATCGTTTATAAAATCCCTACAGCATCCTGTCCTCAGAAGTTTAAGGTTTTCAAACAGTATTTTACCCAGTGGTTTATAATCATCATACGCTTATGATTTTTAAAATAACTTGCAAAAAATTATATTATTTTGACAATACTAGCAGGCTGCTAACCTTGAATCGAGAGGTTCCCAGTTCTGGCACGTTAATTCCTACGCCATACCCAGGTCGGAACGGATTACTTTTGCCTTCTTTTAAATACAACACTGTTTATTTTTCTAAGTTAAAAAATTAATTAACTCGACCAGGATTTATCTGCTATGTATTTGCTAGTAAATAAGTTGGCAAGTCTCTTTATTGAAACTTAAAAATAATAATAACAATATTACACTGAGTTTATGTTTGATGTATGTTAATTGAATACTTGCACGTTAGTTTTAGTAAATCTCTTTCTATTTAGTAAATTCTATCTTGATTTTTATTTTTCATGGCACCACAACTGTAATTTAGTAAAAATTCCCATATAATTCAAATGAAAAGGTAAAGCGACGAAATCTTGTTGACTCAAAAAATTAGATTTCTCAGTCGATAATTTTCACATGATTTTCAAACTTTCTATATTGTTCTCGCTTTATATTGTGTTAAGTAAACAGCGACATTGTTGTAAAAATCAAGAAAGTGTACATAAACATCATGTGGGACGTTTATACAACACATTTTTCATATATCAATTTTCATATTTTTGTTAACATTTAGAGATGTTTCTGGCCACACTACGTTATTGCACACTTTATGTTGAAATAATGCTATTTTAGAGTTAATATTCATTTCGTGATGTTATACGTGCATTGAACATTACAGGAACTTATTTATTCATAGTTTTTCAGATATAAAGATATATTATTTCTAATAATGTCTCTACGTGAATGATGTATGTTTAAAATAAAAGGAATATATATATTTTGTATAACTTATATAGAACCTAACTAAGCCTTTGACGTATTTCCTTATTTCATAGCTACTTCACTTAATCCAAGACTACTCTTCTTACGTATTATAATATATACTATTTAACATCTTTAAGCTACTACCTAACATATGTAAGTCACGACTCTTCCCCTGTATTTGTTCTTCCCATTGGGTTAGTGGTAAGGTTACGGATTTGCAGAGCTTAGTTGACAGAACACAGACAGTATACTGTGTAGGTTGTGCTTTACTTTATTACAATGATATTATATAAAGATAAATATTTCCCTTTTATTTTGCAGACTGTTTCCAGACAAAGTCTTCATCATGTTTCAACGATTCCTTGACCAAGCTGCTAATCCAAACGATAGCTTGCGTGCGAAAGTTCACTAGGATACAGAGGACGGCTTTTAAATTTTTTATTGTTATCTGAGTAGTCCAGTTTGTTGGGGGGAAGAATGAATCTTTTAATTTTTTCTACCAATGTGTTATACATTTTAAAATGAACTAGAAACGTAGTAAAGAAACTGCTCTACGTAATAATGCTTAAAATAAAACGTTGCATTTTAGACAAAATAGGAGAGAAAGGAGGCGTTTTATATAAAAACGAAAACAAGTATTTAATCTCTATAGTTATCAATGTTTTAGTTTCATAATCCGCTGTATAACTGGACGATTTTGTGCCTAAACCATCACTAAAACAATAATTCAACTCAGTACATGTAACTCACTTTGTAACTTTGTTTTTAAACACACAAAAAAATCGAATGTATGATGAGTGAAACAATCGTTTAATTGAATTTCCCAAAAATATTGGCAACTATCAGCATCCTTTCTGAGGCTGAGGAGTGAAAATGTCGATGAAACTTCAGCGTGATTATATTTTTGTTTTCCTGTTTGTGTTCCTATGCCATATCTCCTTTTGAGTATACGTTTTAAAAATATTTTGACATTTCATTAATTGCAAGTTACCGTTTTTTTAAGGGCAATAATAGGAGTGCAATTATTAGGTTATAATTTTTTTTTATAAAATAATAAGTACGTACTGTTATATATTATAAGAATTGTTATTGCATAAATGACTGTTATAAGTAGCGTTTCCACAGAAGTTATATGTGTTATAAACACAGCCGATTTTGGTAAGTCCTCGGTGGAAGCGGGGTGTTAAAATGTTGTTTTACTCTTTTGATTGAAAATTTAATTAAAGGAGTTTCTTCTGTTTGCTGTACGTAAACATAGTTTCACACACACACACACACACACACACATATATATATAAGATAGACTGTATCCAGATGTGTTATTTTTACGCAAATGTATATTTATATATTTTTTTAAACTGTATAATACATATATATATATATATATATATTATAAATACTAGGCATGGTGATTCAAAATTAATGCTAAATATATTTTATAGATGTCGCCCTTTATCTATTCATTAAAGAAAGGATGTTGCATAAGCGTGCATATGGGGGTAAAACAAAACGCTGGAACAAACACACAACACCAAGTATATAACGATGAATTATTAAACTTTCAGTTTTCATAATATTTTTTCAAAGGATATATTATATTAAACGTAATCGCCAACGTTAATTAAAATACACTCAATAAGCTTACTTTAAAAATAATTTAATGCAGCTATATATTTTTTACGTCCAATAGCACGATTTCATACACAGACATATATGAAAAGTCTTGAATTAAACATACAATGGTGTTACTATTAAAATAAGTTGTGTAAAAAATCTAACATTTTCGAACCTCTACATTACCAAGTTGTTTGTTAAAAAAGTAAGGAATTTTATGTGTGTGTGTATGTGTGTATATATCTACTACAAGTCTACCACAACGTCGGACCTTATCATGAAAAACAGCCCTGACTAAAAAGACAGCAGATCT